ACAGAGAAACACAGAGGAGAGTGGTAGAGAAAGAGAGATGGAGGGGAGAGAGAGGAGATACAGAGAAACACAGAGGAGAGTGGTAGAGAAAGAGATAGATGGAGGAAGAAGACAGAGAGACACGGAGATGGAAAGAGAAGTGGAGCTGGGTGAGATGGAGGGGAGAGAGAGGGGAGGAGAAGGGGGATTTAGAGTGAGAAAGATGGAGGGGAGAGAGACACAGGAGAGTGATGGAAAGAGACGGATGGAGGGGGAGAGATAGAAGAGAGGAGACACAGAGAAGCTTACATAGAGGAGGGAGATGGAGGGAGACAAAAGAGAGGGGAGATAGATGGAAAGAGAAATGGAGCTTAGCAAGATAGAGGAGACATGGAGATGTGGAACTGAGAGAGATGGAGGAAGGAGAGATGAGAGGGGAGTTAGAGGAAGTAGGAGGAGAGATGGATGGAGAGAGGAGATGAAGTTGAGTGGGATGGAGGGGGAGAAAGAGATAGACAAAGAGAGGAGAAAAAAGACATGGAAAAAGACATGGAGAGGCACATAGAGGAGAAAGATGGAGATGGAGAGACACCTGGGGGGAGAGGGTGGGGGCGAGGTAGAGGAGAAAGGAAGAGAGAGAAGAGAAATAAAGGACAGAGAGGGGAGAGAGATGACTTAGAGATGACTTACCCAAAAACTGGGCCCTGGTGGTGCAGTGGTTAAGAGCTCGGCTGCTAAACAAAAGGGTCAGCAGTTTGAATCCACCAGCTGCTCCTTGGAAACCCTGTGGAGCAGTTCTGCTCTGTCCTTTAGGGTCGCTATGAGTCCGAATCGACTCCACGGCAACAGGTTTTGTTTTGTTTTGTTAGATATGTATGTTTATGTATACAGACTGAGAGAGATTTAAGGAATTGGCTCATGCAAACGTGTGGGGCTGGTAAGTTCAAAATCCATAGGATATGTGGAGATTCCTGCAGGTTTGTGTCCCAGGTTCCATCGGTCAGGTAATAGAGTGCCAAGTGAAACGAGAGAGTTTTGCCAAAATAACTATTTATAGTCTGAAGACAGAACACACCCCTAAGGAAACTCCCCTTTTCAACTGATTGATGACATTATGGAACGACAGCACATCAACTAGTGTTTGGCCAAACCAGACATAACCTAGCCAAGTTGACACATAAAATGAACCATCACATCACTTGACCTGTCTGACCCTTGGATTAATCACGTGTACAATACTTACCTAGCAGAGCTGTTAAGAGATCCCCGTAAACACAGCCCACGATGTAAGGCACTGATAAGAAAAGCAGTCAGCAGTAATAATGGAGCTAGGAGTGGTATGAATCTGCAATATTGTTAACAAGTATAATCGGTGAGGGTGTGGCAGAGTAGAGGTGGTGTTCTGCTTGGGGGGTTATTTTCCTCACTGTAGGTATGATTCTGCTACATACAAGTTGAGATGGTCTGAAGAACTGTTAAGATCCTTTTGTTTTCTGATTTCAGAATGACGTAACTAGGGATTCTAGCACCAAGTTTAAAAATCATACAGAAGATTTTTTTTTTTAAGGTAAATGAATCCTTAACCATACTGAAAACAAAAAAGAATTCTTAGTGGACCACAACTGGAGAATTCGGAGATTTCGAAAACAGACAAGATTGGAATGAAGAGTGAAACACAGTTCACTACCCATGTAGAAGCAACATCATAGTAGTGCCACACCAGAGGTGGTAACAGGGTTCCCTTGTGCGATGAACAGGGAGAACTGCCGTCGTACTGCATCAGGAGCATCCCATTGGGCAACCTTCGCCACACCCCAAGCAAGCTTAGAAGAAAAGGGAGAGTCATATGTAAGCATTCTCTTAAACAACAGACATTTTCTCAGAACTGATTGAAAGGGATCACCAAGGTCCTCAGCAAAATTTTTAAAAAACAAGCAAAGAACATACACAGAAAAGATCCAGAGTATAAAGTATCAGAGTATAAAGTATCCAGAGAAAAATCCTAAAAGCTACTAGAAAGAAAAAATAAATCACCTGCAAAAGAAACTAGACTCAGACATCACTTTTCTTAGCAGCAACATTAGATGCAGAATGCAGCAACATTAGATGCAGAATGACAGTGAATTATAACCTAGAATTTTATATCCAGCCAACTATCATTAAATGTGAGAGAGAGACATTTTCAGACATATAAAGACTCAGAAAGTTTACCACCCACATGCCCTTTCTGGAAAAACTACTCTAGGAAGAAGGAAAAAGTTATTTTAAAAAGAAGCAGTTGAGATACAAGAATCATGAACAAAACAATTAAGTAAACCTGTCAGAAGTTCTGATTGTTAAGTTTTAAAATAATAAATCAGTTTGAGGAAGAAGTGAAATATGCGTAGTTTTTTTGTTTAGGAGGAGATAGGCATTAGTTTAACATTAGACATTTTTAAGCACTACAATACAAAAGAATTAATAGAGGGGGAGAAACGGACGAAGAAAACTTGATAAATTCAATTAAAGCAGGAAAAGTTTAAAAAGAAATAAAGCCTGTTAGAAAATACAAAATAAGATATAGGAACAAGTTCACACATATCAGTAATCACAATAGCTAAGAGTAGATTAAATCTTACTTTGTCAATGACAGTTTTAGATTGTGATCAGAAAATAATTCTAGTTAATACTGTTTTACAAAGGCACACCTAAAATGACACAGGAAGTTTGAAAATCAACAGACGGAAAAAGATGAATGGAGCAGTTATTAACAAAAGAAAGCTATGAAAAGAATCTGGCAGAGAGGAGTCTGGAGCAAAATGGTGATGTAAGCAGCTACACACTCCCACCCCTCCACACAACACCAAAAAACCCCAAGCAGAAGTTGGCAGAATCTAGGGTGTCAGAACTGTCAAAAACAGTCAAAACGTTATAGCAACTAAGCAGACGGTGAGACTTTAATACACTCCTTTCAATAATGGATAGAACATCTAGACAGGAGATCAGTAAGGAACTAGAGGACTTGAACAACACTATAAACCAACTAGACCTAACAGACATGTGCAGAACACTGCACCCAACAACAGCGGAATACACGTTCATCGCCAGTGCATATGGATTATTCCCCAGGACAGACCATAAATTAGGTCACAAAACAATAAATTTTAAAAGACTGAAATTAAGCAAATTACCTTCACCAACCACAGTGTAATGAAACTGAAATAACAAGGAAAATTCGAAATTCCACAAATACATGGGACCTATAACAACATACTTTTAAACCAGTGGGTCAAAGAAGAAATCACAAGGGAAATTAGACAGTACTTAGAGATGAATTAAAGTGAAAGCACAATATACCAAAATTTATGGAATGCAATGAAGGCAGTGTTCAGAGGAAAATTTATAGCTATAAATGCCTACATTAAAAAAAAAAATTTTTTTTGACAGTAGATTTAGATATGGTACCAAAAGCATGAGCAACAAAAGACAAAACAGATAAATAAGAATTCATCAAAGTTAAAAACTTTTATGCAGAGGACTTTGTCAACAAAGTGAAGAGACTTCCTACAGACTGGGAGGAAATTTCAGGGAACCATTATACCGAATAAGGGTTTAATTTCCAGAATATATAAAGAGAAACAACAAAAAGACAACCCAATAAAAAATGGTCAAAGAACTTGAATAGACATTGCTCCAGAGAAGATGCTTAAATGGCCAACAAGCACATAAAAAAAATGCACATCAAAACCACAAAGAGATAGTACTTTACTCCCACTAGGATGGTTATGATCAAAAAAACAGCAACAACAGGTGCTGGAGACATCAAATCCCTCAGTCATTTGCTGATGGGAATGTGAAATGATATAGCCACTAGAAAACAGTTTTGTGGTTCCTCAAAAAGTTACTGTATGAACCAGAAATTTCACTGGTAGGTATATACACTAGAGAGCAGGAACACAAACAGATCTTTGTACACCAGTGTTCATTTTAGCACTATTCACAGTAGCCAAAAAGTAGAAACAGCGTAAACGTCTGTCAGCAGATGAATGGATAAACAAAATTTGGTACATACGTGTTATGGAGTAACAGTCCTAAAGAGAAATGAAGTCCTGATCCATGCTATGACATGGATGAACCTTGAAAACATTATGCTAAGTCAGTCACAAAAAGACAAATAGTGTATGACCCCACTTAATATGCAATATCTAGAATAGGCAGAGGTATCGAGACCAAAGTTTGTTAGTGGTTACCAGGGTTAAGAGGGAGGGGAAAAGGGGGACTTAATGCTTAGGGGACACTGAGCATCTATTAAAGGTGATGGTATAATTTGGGAACGAGTAAGGGTGATGGTTGTACAACATGATGAATATAATTAATGTCACTGAACTGTGTATGTGAAGATTGTTAAAATGTCAAGTGTGATGTATGTATTTACCACAATAAACAAAAGAAAGTTAAGCATAGAATTACCATGCCATATCCATTATGCCATCGAGTCGATTCCAACTCATAGTGACCATATAGGACAGAATAGAACTCCCCCATAGGGTTTCTAAGACTATAAATCTTAAGGAA